CAATTCATGTCCATGGTTAGGAAACCTTAACCATCTTTGATAACGAGCTAGTCAAGTAGAGGCTCACTAGGGACACAATGTTTGTCTATGTATTCACACATGTATTAAGGTTTCCGATCAATACAATTCTAGCATGAATAATAAACATTTATCATGAATAAGAAAATATAAAATAACAACTTTATTATGGCCTCTAGGGCATATTTCCTCCATACCCAGCATGTACTAGTATAACAGTGGGCCAAAAGGCCCAATTTGAGAAAACCATAGTGAATCTAAAAAAAGAATAAACTAGCGTAAGAATTTCCATGGCCCGCTACAGAAAACTACAATGTGCACATGATTTCATACGAACACAGGGGACATAATTCTTTTTATTATGAATCAAAAAACATCCGGGAACTAAAAGCCAAACTAAATTGCGAAGCCTCTGAAATAAATTTGTAATGTCTCTGGAAATAAATTTCTCATGGTCCAAGAAAAATAAATTGCCATGGTGAAAATAAATTTGCCATTAGCTAGCAACGTTTGCTTAAAATTTGTATTATACCGTTTATCTAGATATTGGTGAAAAACATAAAAAATAGGGTGTTTAACATGTCAAACTAACAAAAAAATTGGTTTCCCTGAAAATTGCCATGTTTTTATATTTTCATTGTCAAGAAACAAAAGAAATCACACACATGAAATTTCCATGATAAAAAAATAAACAAAAATGCCATGCCACTGAAAATAAAATTGCCATGTTATTAAAAATAAGATTGCCATCCACTACAAAATAAAATTTGCATCTTTTAAAAAATAAAATACCATGCTCCTAAAAAATAAAATTGCCATGAAATAATTGATAAGTTTTTATTTGTTCCAAAGAATTGCCATGAATTAGAAAGTTTTATGTCACGATTGAATTAATGAAATTGCCATGTTACATACATGTATATTTGCCAAGGTAGGTCTACTATATTTGCCATGGTAACTCTAATATATTTTCCATAATCCAATTAATAAAACTTCATGACATTAAAAATGAAAATGTCATGTTATTAATGAGTAAGATAAATTTAGGAAGTTGCCATGGGCACATGAAAAATATTCTATTTGATCCAAAGAATTTCCATGAACTAGTTTATGTCATGCTACATACGTACATATATTTGCCATAATCAAATTAATAAAGTGCCATGATCCAATTAATAAAATTGTCATGCTATATACATGTATATTTGCCAATGTAAGTTTACTTAATTTGCCATGGTAACTCTAATGTATTTACTATGATCCAATTAATAAAATTGCCATGACATTAAAAATAAAATTTTCGTGCTATTAATGAAAAATTAGGAAGTTGCCATGGGCGCATGAAAAATTCCGTAGGAATTTTGTTTTCTCAGAAACAAGGCAAAATTAGGGATTTGCCAAGCTACATAAGATAAATTTGCCGCATGTCCGATAATTGCCAATAGTATCTACAAATGAAAATGACATGATGGAGTGAATTTGCCATGGAATCTAGAATAAAAAATGTCAAGATGAATACAATTTTTTTCCATGGTCCAATTCAAACAAAATACAGCCCTAGAAAAAAAAACAAAGAAAACTAGATGGTATGATGCCATGATCCTAAAGAACACACATCATGGCAAAAAACGTGAATAAAATTGCCATGATGCACACACCACTTGGCGTGATGCAAAAACACACCATGACGACAAAAAATGTGTCTAAAATACGAAAAAGGGTTTCCCCCGCTTTATATTATAAAGTAACAACCACTTACATCCAAAGCATCGATACAAACGCACACCACACAAACCCAAGGCGAGATACAAGAAAGCCGGGCAATGAAACACACCCTCAGCGACAACCAAACACCTACAAGATGTGCAACAAGGAACCGCTTAGCGCCGACGGAGGCCACCAAGAGCAATCGTTCGGGAGGGTATGTGACGAACCACGCCGGACCGAGGGTTCCAAGACGATGCCTCCAAGAAGAGTACGACCACGGAACGTCGCCACCGTCCGATCCTCAAATCAAGTTTTCACCCGGAACGAGACGAAGGAGAATGAGCACAACGACGGAGCCTACGAGAAACACGACATCCGCAAACGCCGCCACCGTCGTCCAGTGCACGAACTGGACAGGTGATGAACCCCGATGCTTCAATCCCTTCGTCGCATCCCCGATCCGCCAACCACTCGCAGCCATGCCGCCCAAGCAGCCATGCTTGTGTGCCCGCAACCGAGACGCGCAGTCCGCCCACGACATACGCACCTCCCACCGCCAGGACCGCCGCCCTGCCACCAGACCACCGCGACAACCACCAAAGAGCACACCTTTGGCCAGATCTACGCCCCCAGCCGACTCCGAAGCCACCGGCGGACACCTTGCCACGAGAGGAACCGCGACCATATGCCGGTCCGGGGGAAGGAGGGGGTGACGGAGCAGCCCAAGGCCAAGATCGGCAACGGGGCACATGGAGGCGTCCCCGTCCACCAGCCAACCTCCCCCCGAAACCATGTTCGCCCCTGAAGCCATAGGCCCGGACTAGCCGGGGCGCACCGGCCGCCGCTGGACGCTGAAGAAGGGGAAGGGGACCAGATCGGCCGCCGCCGCGCCTAAGGGAAGCCAGCAGGAAGGTCTCCCCGTGCCGAGCGCCGCCGTCCTGCCGCAAAGGGCCCGGCTGAAAGGGGACGCCCACCGCCACCGCTGCCGCGCCGCCCCCCTCCCCCACCCGAGCCACGGAGAGAGGGCCGCCCGCGACCCGGCCGAGCTCGACCCGCAGCGCCAGAGTCGACGTCGGGGCGCTGCAGGGGAGCAGCCGCCGCCGACACCACCCACCGGCCTGCACCGCCTCCATGCCGCCTGTCACGCCGCCGCCACGCCACCGTCGCTGGCCCACGCCGGAGCACCGTTGCGCCGCCGTGCCCGGCAACGAGCACCGCGTCCCGGCCCAAGAGATCCGGCCCGCGCCGTTCCCCCCGCGCGAGAAGACAAGAGGACCTCGCCGCCGCTGGCGACGACCGGGCTTCGCCCGCTCGCGCCCCCTGGCGGCGGCGAGGAGGAGGGGAGGGTGGGCGGCGACGCTAGATTTAGCCTCCCGGACGCTCGCGGGAACGTCGCGGAAGGAGGGAAAGGGAAAGACCCTCACAACCAATCCTGAATACAGCAAATGTGTCTAAAATTGCCATGATGCACACACATTACTTGCCATAATGTGAAAAAACACGTTTAGGCAAATTGTATGTCAAATTGCCATGGTAGAAAAATGTATATAAACTTGCCACAATGCTTACAAACTGGAGTATTTGCCATGATACTCGAGGAACACATCATGGTGACACGCTAACTCACCACAATGCTCAAAACATGGCAAATTCAAAAATTATGTGCTATGTTCATATGGCAAAAACAGAAAAAGATTGATAATTTTGTCACTAAAAATTTCAACTGCTCACAAATGTCGTCGCTCCTTTATACACAATGCTAAAAAATGCCACTAGGCATCATTACTGTCAGCTCAAAACGCATTTACTATATATTATAATAATCAAAATACCCATAGACCAACATGTCAGCTCTCCCTCTATCTCACTATGATAAAGCTTAGGTCCCACTCGATTCCCAACAACATCTTATTTTTCTCTAAAATTATTTGATTGCTTACTGCTGACAAGTGAGGCTCTCCCTCTATCTCACTATGATAAAGCTTAGGTCCCACTCGATTCCCAACAGCATCTTATTTTTCTCTAAAATTATTTGCTTGCTTACTCCTGACAAGTAAGGCTCACATTTATCATTGTGAGACAGATAGAGTTGACATATGGTCCAAAAATATTTTGATCATATAACATGGTTAACGGGTCTGACCTGCCAGTGTCGATGTCTAATGGAATTTTAAGCAAACATCTAATAATATGATGGCATTTTTTAACTACCTAACGCATTTTTGAGCAAACGTCTCAGGGCATGACCAATGGAGGCGAAAAAAAGACAAGTGCTCCATCAAACACATAGGCATGGAAGGATTGAGGCTATTGCTCACACGCGTTCAGTCCAATGGTGGCTATGGTGGTGCTGCCTCACACCCGTCATCCTTTGGTCCCCATGTGTTCATCTTTTTCATTCTTCCTCCCCTTCTTTTCCTCTCCCTCCTTACTCTTTCCTTCTTTATCTGCTGAAGAACCCGAAGAACCCGTCTCCTCTGCAAGCTTCACCTGGCGCATGCAAGCAGCGGTCCTGCTGCCACAATGGCATCCGAGCCTAGTTGGCTTATGAAGCATCACCTTTGGGGCTACCCATTGGCCATGCCCTCATGAGACGATGATACTTTTGACCAGCTGTAACTTTCCTGGGCACCCGTCAGCACCTCACTTGGGCACCTCCGTCCCTCTCCTTGTGCACTGTTCGATTCTGTCCCACAAAAGTCTCTCGCCTCCCTCAATCCCCTTTGCCCCGCGTCGCCGAAACCCCCGCCTCCTCATCCTCCTCACGCCTCCAAGCCAAGCCAAGCCAAGGCCGTCGGTCTTCGCCGCCTCCTCCGACGGCCCCCTCCTCTACCCGTTCCTCACGCCCTTGAAGCGCCGGCCTGATGCGATTCTGTCCCTCGCTGTAATCAAGCCCTAGTCCGCTTCGATTATCGGCTCTCCGTGGGCAATCGAGAATTCCGCCGGATATTTCTTCTCCAATAACCTACCCAAGGTATCCCGAGCTAATGCTACTCCTACTACCCGTCTGTTTCCACCAAAAATAATTCGGGGGTTGAGCTCAGTCATCGGATTGGACGACATTTCTCCACTGATACGATCGATCCTCTCTCGCACGGCTTGATTTGCCTCCATTGGCAGGTATCGTTTCCAGGAGCCCTGCCCCCAGAGTAGCCAAGAGGCTGGCGTCGGGGGCCGATTTGCTGCTACTTTTGAGGAGTTGGTACCCTGTAGGTGGCCCGTCGGCTGCAGGGTCTTGGTTCGTGGAGTTCTTTTCAGGGCTTTTCTTGGGGATCATGGGAGCTTTCTGCTCGTGTTTGCAAGCCGATTACTCCGACCGCCATGGCAACCAGACTTCTGGTGCGTTTAGGAACTGCATGTGCCTCAGGTGTTTTACCCAGCAGCTGATCAACGCTGTAAGTCTCGTCCCGGTTGCTTGATTGCCATAGGGTTGGTGTGATAAAGATTAGTTCGTATGGCTGACTTCTAATTTTGGTCCTAGAAGATCACAATCTTTTAACGTCCAAGTACACATCCTTCTGTTTTTTGTTAAGCACAACCTGATGTGCAAAAGTAATTAAGCATCTGTATTGGATATCATTATACTGATTTCGATGGTAACAATGTGCTCTTCTGTCGGATTACATGGAGTCTCGGGCAAGATTTATCTCATTGTACGAGCACAAGAAAGAACAAATCAACAAGTATCTAGTTAACTACTGTCGCCTTGTTTATACACAACCTTTAGTTCTCTAGTAACTAGCCTTTTGCGGTGAACACCTGGTGTGAATGATAGCTGAAAGAAACCAAAAACATGACACAACCATTGCAAATTGTTTCTTGTTCCACTCACCTGCTGAATTTTCTGTCCCTTGTAATAAGTTAATTACTTTAACATGAATTGAGATTATACAGGCACAAAACCATTACATTTGTATCTCCTTTTTTCAGTACACTGTTTTATTCCGAGTTGGAACGGTCCACTCTGTTTCTCAAGCTATAGAAGCCACCCCGCTTGATTCATCTGAAAGTTCATTCGATACATATCGTTCACCTCCAAGACCACTGCCATATGATGATCCTAGATTCTCCCCTCCTCTGCGTGACTGGTTTGCATCAAGGCAGGATCCTTCAAGCCATTCACCAGAGGAATCAGAACCACTCAGACCAAATTATGATGAGGAAATAGAAACGATGAGTTCAGTCAACAAGCCAAGTAAAACAAACTATGACACAAAAATGAAAAGAAGCAGCTCTGCTTACGGAGATAAGTTGTCCCGAAAGGAATCTGGAAATTATTTCACCTACTTTTCTCCATCTACTGAAGATGAAGATGTCTGTCCAACATGTCTTGAAGGTAATGCTCACTAACTTTCAGTATATTAGTCTACCAGGAAGATGTCAAGTGAGTTTTGTACAGCGCATTAGTTTCATACAGTTAGCAAGACTTGAAGTAGAGCAGTCTAGAAACAATAAGCATTAGTTATGTTATATTGCATGACCGAATCTGATTCATCTTTCTGAACTTTTGTGGCACTAATTTAATTTCTTGGGTAACCCAATCATTCTATACATATTCCATTGCTTTAGAACACCGTGGATGTTAAATAAATTATTCAAATGTGTCGTAAATTTATGTTTATGCTGGTTAATTGAAATAAACTCCCAAATCAGATAACCTGATAGACCATTACCTATCTAATTTGCAGATTATACTTCGGAGAATCCTAGGATAGTAATGCAGTGCTCACATCACTTCCACCTTGGCTGTATCTATGAGTGGATGGAAAGAAGTGAGGCATGCCCTGTTTGTGGAAAGGTAACTTGGTTTTAGCTCTTTGTCCCAATGATCTATTATTACTATTTCCATATGCTGTTACACTTTGTTCTACTATGAGGTCAGTAGTCCATATCTACTTTGGAACAGTGTTGACATTACAGGACATGCCTTTGCATTTTACTTATTTAAGGTGTTGTATTTCTGTGTTTCTTTTTCGATAAAGGGGGACTTTATTATCTCAAATGTAGCATCAAGTGGATACAAAGCATTATGAGTAACACCCGGCCTCTGCATAATTAGGATGCACACAGCCAAATCCAGAAGTCTGACAAAAATTCATAAAATAAAAACCGGCAAATCGGTAACAAGTAGAGTCCTATAGACCGACACTATGCCTATGTCGAAGGGGGTGGCGGATCAATCTGTAGGTTATGCTGCCACCCATGTTGGGAAAAAACCTCCGTAGCCACATGCTCCAATCGCGTACACACCGCCATGAACAGCGGTTAGTACTTTGGCCGTTGTAGCATGGACCACGTACGTAGCGACTGCGTACACCGGAAAATAACCTGCAGAGGAGAAGCATTTTTGTCATTAAAAACCAAATCATGTCTACATAGCCAAAGGGACCAAATTAAGGCATACACTCCCACCTTGATTAGCGTTTTGAACCTATTTGTAATACCGTCCAACCAATGACCAAAAATATTGGCAACACTTGTGGGCGGATACAAATTTGACGCTATTTGGATGACTGACCACGTAGAACGGGCAAACTTGCATTGGAAAAATAGGTGTTTGATTGTCTCGTCATGAGTACAAAAAGAACACTTCTTACTCCCTGGCCAGTTGCGCCGTGCGAGGTTGTCTTTGGTTAGCACAACTCCCCTACGAAGAATACCACATGAAGATTTTCACTTCTAGTGGAATCTTAGACTTCCAAATTTTCTTATTATTACACGCTGGTACCTCAGTGTGCGTGAGTGCACAGTACATAGTCTACTGTGAAAGACCCTAATATAGTAAGGTTCCAGTGAAACACATCCTGGCCTTGTGTCAGGTTAATCGAATCCAGTCAGGATAAAAGATTATGCCATGACACAAGTCGGGGGCCAATCAAATCCCGCCTGAACGAAATATTCGGCGGTGAAGATGTTAGGATCTCACTAGTGTAGCTCGATCTATTGCACTAACTCACAAATTTGTGTCTTAGGTAGCGATTACAAGCTCGGGTACAAGAATGGAAGAAGGGGATCGGGGACTGGAGAGGAACAATGCCACCGCCGTTCTGATCCACTGGATGACCTAGTCTTCGTGGGAGACGCCTTAAGTAGCCGGGTGGTCGCGTGGGCTCACCGAGTCCACTGTGGCCCAGTGTTGGTTGGGTTGGGCCGCCGGATCCTGGTGGGTCGGGAGGCAGTGATGGAGTCACTGTCGGCTGGGTCCCCCTTGTCGGTGACTGGCAGCAGTAGGGGCGCTGACATCCCCTTCTCCTTGCGACGAGGCTTGCCCCCAAGCCTTTGCTGCTGGAAAACGGGCTTGTAGCGCCACTGGGTCCTCCCAGGTGTCTTCCAGGGCCGACGTGTCGGACCAGCGCACACGAACCTGCTCGATCATGGCGCCATTTTTCTTGCGCCAGCGCCGCTGGAGGACTGCGACAGGAACCACAGGAGCATCAGTATGACGCGGGAGTTCAGTTTGAGACAGCGTACCCGGGCGCAGGCAGTGGCGTAGTTGGGACACGTGGAAGACAGGGTGCACTTGAGCCTGAGGCGGCAACTCCAATTTGTAGGCCGAATCGTTGATCTTGGCAATGATTTGGTACGGTCCGTAGTACTTGAATGCCAGTTTGTGGTTGGTGGTGGGCGACTGAAGTTTGAATGTAGGGTTGAAGTTTGAGGTAGACCGAGTCGCCCACAGAGAAAGTGCATGGAGATTGCTGTTTGTCCGCCTGGGCCTTCATGTGCTGCTGCGCTCTGTTCACGTGTTGTTGTAGCAGGTCCTGAATGACGGCGCGCTCGTCCAGCCAAGAATGCAGCGCCGGCACGGTGCACTCACCTGTAGAAGTGATCCCCCAATGCCTTGGTTCATGCCCGGACATTGCTTTGAACGGCGACATCTCGATGCTGGAATGATATGAAGTGTTGTACCAAAACTTTGCTAGTGTATCCAGTGGCTCCATCTGGTTGGGCAAGCATGCACGAAACAACGAAGATAAGTTTCGACACACTGATTGACTCGCTCTGTTTGCCCGTCCGTTTGTGGATGGTTGGCCATGCTCAGCCTCAATTTCGTGCCAGCATACTTGAAAAACTCCTGCTAGAAGTGACTGGTGAAGACGGGATCGCGATCTGACACAATAGAAGCTGAGAATCCATGGATCCTGTAGACACTGTTCATGTAGAGGAGCACAACTTTGGGTGCAGTATAGGGATGCGCCAGGGGAAGGAAGTGGGTGAACTTGGTGTGCCTGTCTACAATGACCCAAAGGCAGTTGAATTTACCGGACTGCGGAAGCCTGTCGATGAAATCCATAGTGATCATCTCCCAGGGTTGTTGCAGGATCGGTAGGGGTTGGAGCAAACTTGGGGATGCTGCTATGTCCGGCTTGGCTTGCTGGCAGACTGGGCAACAGCGCACATAATGCAGAACATGTGTTCATTTTGGGCCACGCGAAAAGACGACGGATGCGTCGAAAAGTTGCAGGAAATCCGGAGTGCCCGCCAAGGGGGCTGTCATGAAATGCTGACATGATCTTCTGCTGTAGTGCGGTCGAGCCTCCCAGCCAAATACGTCCACGGAATCGGAGAATCCCATTCTGCAAAGTGAAACGGCCTTTGGGGCCTTCCTTCACAGCTAGTTGCTCCAGCAGTTTCTGTGCCTGAGGGTTACAGTTATAACTTGCTGCTACATCTTCAAGCCAAGTTGGTTGATAGGAAGTGACAACAGAGAGCATCTCTGAGGAACCCGCACGCGACAGGGCGTCTGCTGCGGTGTTTTCAATACCCTTCTTGTACCGTATGGTATAGCGTAGACCCAGGAGCTTGGTGAAAGCGCGTTGTTGCCAGGGAGTGGAAAGGCGTTGTTCCTCCAGGTGTATCAGACTTTTTTGGTCGGTGTGGATGACGAACTCGCTGTGCTGGAGATAGGGTCGCCATTGGTCGGTGTGGATGACGAACTCGCTGTGCTGGAGATAGTGGCGAGGAGCTGGAAGGTCTTGGGTGAGACGCTGCCGTCCAGCGCCGAACAAGAAATGGCCATAGCGGTGTCGCAAGTTGAGGTAGTGACAGTGCTCTCGTTTTGCTCGACGTCCACACCGAAGAGCTCGAGCATTTCCTCCACCACGTGGAGTTGGACCGTGGTGGGGCAGACGTGGTCCTGTCCCCAGCGCTCTCCGCACTTGAAGCAGAGACCCCGAGCTCGGCGGTAGTCGCGAAGCGTATTCACCTTTGGACGTGTCCGCACGCGCCGCCTCGGTGCCGCGACGATCCACGATGCCACTTGGAGGAACTGGGCGCGGTGGAGGTGGAGGTAGTGGCAGCGCTATGCCCGGCCTGTAGTGCACCTTAGGTGGTCGCGACAGCGAGCCAAATGCTCCGTCCGCCACCTCTTCTTGTAAGAGCGCGAGCGCGCATGCTCCAAGTCTGGTGGTCGCTCCACCAAGACCACCGCACGGATATCCTTCCGTAGCCCCTCGACAAAACGAGTGAGAAAATAAAATGGGTGAATTGTGTCAGAATAAGAGCTGAGATGATTAATGATGACTCAAATTGCTCAATGTAACCTGCGACCGTGGATGTTTGGCGCACGGTGTAAAACTGACGAATCAATGTTTGATGGCGATCACGCCCAAAACGCGTACACAAAAGAGCGGTAAACGATTCCCAATCGAAATCCGCAAGTCGCTTCTGAATAGATTGCAACCAAATGGATGCGGAGCCAGAGATGTTCAGCGCGGCCATAGGCACCCAGGAAGATGGTAGGATGGCAAACATAGCAAAATATTGTTTGCAGAGAGTTTTCCACAATTTTGGGTTATCTCATGCGAACTGGGGGAATTGGATGGATGGGTGTGCCTGGCCTAAGCCGCTGAGTAGCTGACTGGCATGCGCGAATGGGGAAAGGGCAGGGGGTGATGAGGGGGCATCGGACTGATCGTTTGCCGGGAGCGGCGGCGGCGTCTGGAAGGACGCCGCGGGCAGCCCTCGTGTGATGTTGTAGACGTCGTGGCCATCGTGCCCGCGAGTTTGCTGCCGCGCCAAACACGGTTCCGATGTGGGTACCGGTCGTCGCAGGCGGATGGTGACTCATCGCTGGCGCCTGGTGCGATGCGCCCTCCGGGCGCGGTGGGGGTGGAGGTGCGTGTTGCAGGGCCGCCATCGGGTCGGTCAGATCGCCGACGTGTCGCTCGAGATCGGGGCGCCACGCCATGAGGTCGTCGACCTTGGCGTTGGAAGCCTGGATCGCGGCGGTGTGCTCCTTGAGGGTGGTCTCCAGGTGCTCCAGGGACGACTGTACGGACGAATCCATGGCGATGAGTTGAGATCGCGCTTGGCGCAGGGATCTCGTCTCCATAAACTGGGCTAGATCGACGCAGAGGAAGGGGGTGGGAGTGGTCTTTGATAAGGAAGGGGGTGGGAGTGGTCTTTGATACCAGATGTTAGGATCTCACTAGTGTAGCTCTTGTTCTATTGCACTAACTCACGAATTCGTGTCTTAGGTAGCGATTACAAGCTCGGGTACAAGAATGGAAGAAGGGGATCGGGGACTCGAGAGGAACAATGCCGCCACCATTCTGATCCACTGGATGACCTAGTCTTTGTGGGGGACACCTTAAGTAGCCGGGTGGTCGCGTGGGCTCACCGAGTCCACTGCGGCCCATTGTTGGTTGGGTTGGGCCGCCTGATCCTGGTGGGTCGGGAGGCATCGATGGAGTCGCTGCCGGTTGGGTCCCCCTTGTAGGCGACTGGTTCAGGGTTAGCAGCGGTAGGGGCGCTGACAGAAGAACCGAGCACATGCGCAATAGTATTATTCTTTTC